AAAACTGCTAGCACCCGCCGTGGCATTGATTCCACAAGGTGCTGATAGGTAGTCTGAGGTATCTGGTACCAAGCGCTCACTAACTGGTCCTGCAATTTCCTCACATTGAGAAGGGGAGCGTGGTAGCACGAATTTGGTTTTCCAAGTAGGACCACAAATGCTCTATTGGATTAAGGTCAGGTGAATTTGGGGGCCAAGACATGACTTGAAAGTCAGTGGAATGTTCCTCGAACCAGTCCATGACGATTCGACCCTTACGACATGGTGCATTATCCTGTTGGTAAGCACCATTCCCGGCAGGAAAAACTGTTGCCATGAATGGGTGAACCTGGTCTGCAACTATGTTCAAGTAGCTTACAGACGTCAGGGATAGTTCTATGAGGATTATGGGTCCTAATGTAATGGCTCATCTTTATATATATATACATTTGGAAATATATGAGATATCTCAATCTAAATATAGCTTTGCATATATAAAAGATATCTAGAGATGTAATACATCAAAAATGCTATTTTTTGCTTCGCCTATTTATGTGTCCGACATTGCAATCTACACAAATGAGGAATTATTATGTATTGTATTATGTAATGTACTTCATTACATTAAATTCAACAAAATTATTAATAAGCTGATGGAATTAATAAGTTTCAAAGCTATAAGGTTTTTCTACGTAGAAAAGTATAAGTGAAAAGCACATACTTTAAACGCTCATAACTTCTAAGCTTTTATTCCTATCAACTTGGTTTCTGTCTTATTCAATTTAGTGTAAAAATAAATATCCAATAATTTTCTTGCCCAATAACTTCCATCAAAGTGGGTATGAAACGGAGCAATGATCGACTTTTTCCAGCACTAAGACATGTACTTTAAAGACCAAATTTCTGAAAATATGTTCTTTAAAAAATTGTCTGAAAATGTCAATTTTATAGAAGAAATTATTTTAAAACTTTTTCAACAAAACATGTAGATTTTGCTTTACTGAATCTAACTTCTTATAAAAGTTTCTAACCTCTCCTTTAAGTCAAATCAGTTGAATACTTTCTAAGTAATGAAATTTCAAAAACTTCGTATTGTTTAATTCCACAAAAGTCTTCAAAACTATTTATTTCTCATACTTAAACTTTCATTGTACGTGATCAAAAACTATTGACTATTTTTTAATCGGTTGCTCACTGGCTCAGTCACTCAAAATCATATCATGGGAGCAGATATTAATTATAAGTATAACATACTGAAATTCCTCATTACAAACCAGAACGTAAGTTATAAATTAAGAATGAAAATTTTTAATTTAAATAATTTTTTATAATTGTTGAGACTTACATTAGTTTCCTTCACGACTTCTGATATTTCTTTGAACACTTTTTCTTGCACGTCTGGGTTCATAGCTAGTAAATAAGCTGTGAGTCCTAGTGTTGTTGCTGTGGTGTGATAACCAGCCAGAAAAAAGATAACACACTGAGCTACAAGCTCATCCATAGACATACCTGAAAACAATCATTTTTATTTATTACAGGATTAAACATTGAAAACTATCGTGATCTTTTTTTAATCATTTAACCAGTTAATGAAAAATGTGTTGCTCATGAAGTGGTAAGAAGTTATTAAAGTAGGCAATACATTGAAGTGGTAAGGAGTTAAAAGTGTGCCAAGCCATAAAGTTTTTGTCATAACTAAGTAACAATACTCTAGCACACTGAGTTAAAAATCCATCCATTGACAAATCTAAAAACAATTTTTATTTCAGTGCAGAATAATTCATTGAAAATTAACTTTATCCCTTTTATATCCCATTGTAAGTATTAAAATGTTAATAATTCTATGTCTAAAAATGTGAATAATCAGTTCCATATAAAAAAAATTATTCAAAACAAAAGAACTTTGAGAAAATTGCAAAACAGTTTTTCTTTTGAAATATAAAGAGACTGAGATACATTGTTCTTATGAGTTACTTCAGTTAAAAGTGCGTAAACTATACTTCGACAATCATTGCGAATTTCCGGAAAAGAGTTTTTTATGAAGTTTGATTCAAGAAAGTAGCCTTGACATCTTAGAAAATTTAAATTTAAAGAAAATGCAACAGGACTCTGAAAAACGCGTTTATAGTATAACTATTATTTTTAAGAAAATGTTAAATGTAAAATCTACAATTTCTGTTTTTGCTTAAATTAAATATTTAAAATAAACTAATATTTTTCGTTTAAATATGGCAAATTAAGATAACCAATCTTTCATACTGCATTTTTCTTATTGCTTAAATATGAACAATGAAAATGATAGGTTTTAATACTGAATCCTTTTAACAATAGTGATTTTCCTTTTCACGAAACAACGTTTTTACAGCGAGAAAACGCTTGTATTAAAATAATAATATATAAATAATAATAAAGAATAATTAAAATATTGTTATAAATATTGAACATGTAAAATTTTGTCTTTTTTCTTATAGTAAGTAATTTTTGTCTTCATTTAACTGAATTGTTTATAATTCGAGACAGATTTTTACATTTACTCCTGGTTGTAACTGAGTCATAATGTGTCCTATTGTGTATTTTTTCTTGTTGTTTATTTTTTTTATATCATTCAACAAGACAAAAGATTTTCTAAAAACCGTAAAATCTTAGTACGCTTTATTTTAGATAAATTGGATATATTCATCGAATGTATGTCATAGAATTCCGCAAATAGAGAACTATGTTTGCTAAATATTAATTTCGAGAAAGAAAGTAGTAGGATAGAAATAAAAAATGTTCTAAAAAGCACAACACTAGGTTATAAAAATTTTAGAAACATCAATTTATGAAAGTGATTTTTCAGTTATTCGCCCTGCCAGCTTCTGAATAAAACAAAAAGTGGTAGCCTATAGTTGGAAAAGGTAGAAAAAGTTCAAACGCATTATAAATTATGTAGCAACTCACCTAAGTTTAAAAAAGATTATTCTATTTTCTGTTAATTACCTATCACAAGATGCACAGAAAAAATGGCTCATGTTTAAAAATTGTGTAGAGCTTTAAACTGAGAATAATACGTTATACAATATAAATACCAATAAACTGCCATTTATCAAAATATATTCCAAGTAAATTATTTGTTTAATAATTCCATTTCTTTTATGGGAGTTATACTTTCCGTATTTTACAAATGGCGTTGAGAAAATCACTTTTTGAAGTTCCTATTCAAACTACATGATAATGTCTTACCCTAAGGTTCTTCTCCAAACTAAAATAAAGAGCGTTCCTCCACCTACAATACTTCGTACACAGCCAATATTTAAGTAATTAAACATTTTTATGAAGATTGCTCAAAGGAATAATAATAATAATAATGTCAAAAATTAAGCAGCGATAGCAGCACCACTTGAAGTTATAAAAGAAAGTAGAAAATTGCACCGCACATTTCGTAAAATGTCACGTAATAGCATTTAAAACGAATGTTTTAAGTAAAAGAAAGTAGACGCGTCAAGAACAAAGAAGCAAGACGTAGTACGTTTTTTTTTGTTTTTTTTTTTTTTTTTGGTGGCAGAAGATAAGCAGAACTGCGAATGCTGGTCGTCCTGTCTCATTCGATGCAAACAAATGGCGTGAAAGGTTTCATAAATGATAAACATCAAAGATATCAATTTTTTGAGTAAGCAAACACCGTGATATATATCCAACGAAACCATTGCAACTATTAATAAAATAATTAGAATCAATCAAAGACATACAATCAAGGACATCTGCGTAGCATTACTTTATCTGAGTAGAGAAATGTGTCAATTCCTTTTCTCACTATGAACCACACTACTGCGCATTTCGTTTTTAGCACATACATCCTCAGCACAACTTTACATTTGTTTTAAATACTCTCACGTATACTTGTTAATCAGTTATACACAGTCCACGATGCGTTTATCCTGCCCTCCTTTATATGCATTAAAGTTGGCGCTGGTGTATTTCATACGCAATCATACTTGTCAGCTTTTCCTTCGAGCAACTCTTATTAATTTCTAGAGGGCAAATATACTCTGTAGCGAATACAGTCGGCACTAGCTTACGTTTTGTAGTAACAGTCTTAAATATTGCATGGTCTTTTGATTCGTCTACATAGTTGGCAGCAAGGTCGTCTGCCTCGTCCCACTTTTCCTCCTTTGCTACTTGGGTTGCTGAATCAACAAGCAACTGCAGGAAATCATTCCTAGTCTGAAAAATAAATGTTAGCATTTTACTAATCAAAGATTTCGGTAATAACACAAAGAAATTTCTAATATTGAAAAAAAAAATATCTAAACTGTCAGCTTAAGCGAGTTTTTCAAGCAACTGTTCAGTTTAGGCGATGAACAGATGAGCCATATTATCGGACCCATACAAGTAATTCAGTAAAAAAAAATATATATTTATTTGTAATAAGAAATGTTAATAATTGCATCCTTCCATTAAATTTCGAAACATCACAGTGAGAATGGAGTTCTGAGAACTAGTGACATTACATGATATGAAATTGAAAGTGACTTACAGTTATCAAAAATGCCACATATAAAACATATCTGTTCGTTTTGAAGTTTTTTGACTAATCTTAAATTCAGGTCTGTTTGTTACATCTAAATGGCCAACCAAAAAAAAAAATGGTTAATCAATGAAAAACATCTGTATGAAAAAAAATGGTAAGATATATTTGTTTATAATAAGTGGATATTTTTTTCAGTTACTTTCCACTTTCGTTTTAAGCTCTGTACTTTGATTTCAGATCCTTATACTAATATATTTACAATATTAATATATTTTATTTTATAGCCGTCGTTGAACAGCCGTCACAATTTTATTGGTTTACGACTACTAATGCTCAACTCCGCAGCCTTGCAATTTTGAACCAATCCAGAAGACAAGGAAACTCCTGGATCAGTACCCCTAGAGGTATTGATTTGTTATGGTTATTAATATATTGCAATAATCTTTTCTCGCTTTCAAACATTTGCGCTGACACTTTTTTTAAAATTATTTTTTTAAAGGAAACATTCTTTTAAAAGGTCGCTGAGCAAACATTTCAGAAAATTGGCTAAATACACGGTTTCCTTTAAAGCCAATATGCTATCACGGTATAAAATAGTTAGCCTCGTTGAAGAGTCCAGAAACTCAGTAAGAAAGAAATATTTAAAAGGAAATGGATTTTGGAGGCAGTTTACAAAGCAAATGCCATTTAACAAGCATTTTATAACACACTATTGTGTATTTTCAATGAATTATTTCAGATACGAACTATTCTTTGCAATTCTTTGATATACGAAATATTCTTTGCAATAAAAATTAAACCATAGCCTTTGTCCTGCCCAGCACTCTCTCTCTCTCTCTCAAGCAAGTTCTAAAATTAGTTTTTACCAAGTTTGCAAAATATGTATTAAACAACGCAGCCTTTTGAAAATATTTACTGTGAAATAATACATCGATGCAATGGTTAAATAGTTGTTTTAGTCCACTATAATGGATCATGTGATCCTAAATTATGAAATTTGTTTATTTGTTTGACGTTTAAAGAAATACGATAAAATTATCAAAATTAAATAATTAATAATAGTAGTATCTGCATCTTGATAGTTTTAAGCGAAACAAAATAAAGACGCTTCAAAGCTTGATGGTATTGTCATTTTCGTTAAAGCTCTTCAACACTGTTGGAAATTTCTCGGAAAAATGGTTAAATAACAATTTATCTAATTGTTATTTTACCATTTCAAGCAAAAACAGTCAAATAATCATAAATACGATGGTAATTAAGCTGTTAACCATGAGAAATACCGTTTATTAACTGCTTTCACCTAATACGGTTCAACAACCAGAATTTTATCGCACCACGTATTATAACCCAGAGGGTTAATCAGTCTCATGATCTTCAGAACGGGGAATCGAGGCCCAACGTTGACACCACAATATTTCCTTTATTCCTTTCAGTACATAAAGAGTTATGCCAAGTTAAATTTCATTTTTATGGTTTCGAAACCATGCTAGTTCTAAATGGTTAAAAAACCGTATAGTTTTGTATCCATAATTTTATAACCATACGGTTTCAAACCCTTAAAGATAAAAAATATTCCTTACCGTAAGCGTTATGATAAATTGAATGGACAGGCTGCTGCCCGTTATTTTACCATAATTTCGGAAGGAAAATTCTAACAATGAATAATAAAGAAGTTTCAATAATTTTAATAAAGTGTTTTAAGAATATACAAATCAATAGAAAAACGTTGCTCAATGTCTATTTCATGAAATAAATATGAACAAATTAGTAATTACCTGTCCAGTCCTCTTCCTTTCTTGTATAATATTCAGAGTTACACTTTTGAAAAAATTCATGATTGTAGGATTAAAGACTTTAAAACCAAACTTTTTTAGCAAACGTGGCATAAGCACTGAAAATAAATTATAAATTTAAGCATTAAAATCCATCTTTACTGTGTAGTTTCAAAATACGAGTATATCTGACTATTATGCTGCATGTAAATAAAATAATTCGGAAAGAAGTAGTGTACAGCACTCCTGTTGTTCGTTAAATGTTTTCTGCTTGTCGAAGTTACTCGTATCAGTCTCGGGTAGAGGAAACGGTGGGCAAATTTCGCGAAACGTTGTTTTTGGAGCACTCTAAACTATTGTGCGATGACGTTCGAAAACACTCTGGAAAGTTCAATCGGTTTTCATCTTAAGAGAAGAGTGGTAAATCTTAAGCTTAAGGAATAGTAGAATTCGTATGATTTGAACCAATTTTTTTATTTTAATACAAATATATCCCAAAGCTGCACCGACAATATTTATTTGTCACTTTTTCTCGAAATAAAGATCATATATAATTTAGATTTCGAAATGGAGATTTTAATTGGTGAATTTTAAGTAGATCTATAAAACTACATTCAATAAGAATATTCCCTAAGTTTGCAAAATTCAAGCATTGCATTTTATTGTTCCTTACGATTTCAACTTTTTTATTGTAGTTTAGCTTCCTGTCATTTGAAATATTGATAAAAGAATTGTTATTATATAAAGAATAATGACGTCACTTTATAATTATGAATTGAATCAATCGAAAAATCAACCGTTAAAAAATTAACAACCGTTCACACCGTTAAACGATAAACTTTTCAAAAGTTGAAAAAAAAAATGGTGCGAGGCTCCAAAAACTGAACGGAATTTAAAATTAAAACGGAATTAAACGGAAAAACGGCAGAACTGACCCAATAAATACGAATTATAAGCAAGAACCTTCACATTTTTAAATTTAACAAAATGAACTGAAATCTGAAACATTTCATTAGGGAGCTCAGGGGTCATAGTACCTTTGCAACAATTTTTTTTTTAAATAAAGGTTCAATCATTCATTTTGTGGATGATTTGCATGCTCATTTAACTTATAATCAATAATTTATCATCAAAAAAATTAAACTGTTTATTTTTTTTTAAATTTAAAGAAAAACTGAAAAAATTCAAAATTTTTAAATTTTTTAGGCTTTTTTATTTTAACATATTTTCAAAAAAAAAATTTCTTAGTATTTACAATATTCATCTTAACCAATTTTGTGCATTCATTTGTTGATATATGAATTAGAATATTTTTTATGGATTATTTTCTAAAAAAGTAGAAAAAAAGGTTAAACATTCCTGTTAGGTATATATAACAGGCTGTAAAAATTGTAATACCTCATAAAATCCTTGTCCATGCACAGTTTAAATAAGTGTATCATACTTAAGATAAAAAAATTTACTTCAAAGCTTTTTCCTCAATAAAAAAAATTCCTTGGGGATTTAATTAAGATTAAAACACAAAATTATCATCTATGAGAAAAATCACTTTAAATCCTGTCTGCTGAGCAAATTTCTGTATTAGGACAATCTAAAATGATTCATAACTTTTTTAAAAATGCAGATAGAGATATGATTTTTTTTTCAGTGCATTTAAAATAGTTTGAACATTTATTATAAGTAATAAAAAAAAATTCGATATTTCGGTCATTTTTTGGGTACTGTGACCCCTTAAAATAGAAAATAAAAGATTTATCACTGATAGCCCCTCGCTGCGAGTGACTGCTAGCTTCTGCTTGCAAGAGAAAATGCTAATAAAAGTATTTACATTAGAGTAATCTACGTAATAATCTAGAACAAACTCTAATTCTTCATAGCTTCATTTGTTTACGTACAAAAATATGGTCTAATACCTAACACTATATTACTTAATTTATACGACTTAGTTTCAAAGAAAAGCTGGAACTATCCGTTTATAATGCTTGTTTTATTTGTAACTTTCTGGTTTCATTAAGATTTAAGAAAAAAAGTCTAGTTTTATGTATAAAAAGTAGAGAAAATTTCCTATAATATTAATTTTCACACTGGCCGAAGGGGGGAGGGGCAAGTAAAAGCAGCTACGAAAGGGGAAAGTATATAGTAGCATATAGTAGTAATAGTAGCATGATAATGCTTAGAAACGAGATATTGTCGTTTCTAAATAATTAAGGAACAATAAGTCTTAGTTCTATTTTGAAACATTTTAGTGAGACTTTAATGAAGAAAATGTATTACATTGCATTTCCTCCACATGTTCCTCCACATTATCTCCAACTATTTTAAAATTTTTCTGAAATCCTAATGCAAATAAAATATCTTAAATAAAATTAATTTATTTTAAGTAATAAAGTATTAAATAAAAATCAAAATTTGATAAACAGAAATATTAGTAGAAACATATCTGTATTAACTCCATAATAAAAAAGAGAAAATAGCATTTTAAAAATTGTTCATGGCTGCACTTCGTTTTCGAAATAACATTGCGATTAAAATTGTTTTTGATTTTGACAAATTGTATTAATCAAACAAAAAAATTATTAATGACAATTTGTTATGAAATAATAATACTTACAGAAAAGTAAGAATCTAATATTGATGCTTTGAGAAAAAGCCCCTTGGGCATTTTTAACAAATCGATTTTCTGGATCATTGTGAGAATCTATTTTTGTCGAAAATGCAGAACTTGCAATTACGTCCATGGTAAAAGCTCCGAAATATCTAAAATTATAAAGTATAGGGTTGCATATAAATGAGAACGTCTAAAAATACAAATGCAAATATAAATGTGTTATAATATCTAAACTCATATTAAAGTTTATGGATATAATTCTATAAATTTTCAGGCTGAATTTAAGCAATTGACAAGATCTTGGAATTTTCAGAAATCAGCTTTTTGTGAAATGTTTATTTTTATGTGACCTTTATGATGGTAATAATGTAATAAAAATGTTATATACTTTTATCTAATGTAATTTCAATTTTTAATTGTAATCAAGTGAGACGATTTATGTTTTCAATATCCCCTCTTTAATTAGAAGACAAAAAAATATGACGAAATCAAGAACTTATTTTGACAACACCTCATATTATACTCGCAGTTAGCGAGGTAAGAGTATGAAATAAAATGAGGAAAAATAGAAAAGTTGGCAAATGGAAATTTAGTTTATTAGCAATAGATTTATAAACCAATGAAAATTGTCGTTGCACATAAAAACGTAAGTACACTACCAAATTGATCAAATATATTGAAAGGTCAAAGAAGAAATAAAATGTTTGATGTGAATCCTAACGCTAATTTTTTCCTGAAATTATGAATGATACTTACGTAAACATATAGTGAAAACTTATCGTCAAAATCAGCATTCATTATTTAATATCATGGTGCATTAGCAATAGCGTTGTTGTTGTTGTTTCTAATGCCACTTGCCACACGGGCAAGTCTGCTTGGTGAAACCGAGCAATTTAAGGCAGAGTGTGCGCTTCTTGTTTGTCAGTGGCACCATCTATGGTCAAGAATTCAACTTCTGCCACACCATACGTCACACTCGTTTATAGGGCAGACCCATTCATTCATCCACAGATCGTAATTTTGACCTGAATCAGATTGTGCTCATGCAATAGGTAATGTGAAAGTCAGTGCCCATCATTTACTACAACTATGGATAAGCAACGTTAAATTTCTGATATATAAATGAATCCCGTTTACGAAGTAAATACACTGTTAAGTCAGAGTTCATTACTTACTATCACGATGTATTAGCAACTTAAATTTCTAATGTGTAATGAACTACACTTACTCAATAAGTATGCCATGCTGAAATATGCATGACATATTTCCCAAAATTTAAAAACCAAATTATTATCTTATTTAATCTTTTTTCAATAAAAAAACATTTATATAAATCTGTAATCTTTTTATATCAGAACTTGAACATTCCTTGTGCTCTGAAATATTTTTTATAAAGCGATGACATAATTTTTCAATTCCAGACTGCTATAAAATGATAAACTAAACTATGAAAAAAAGTGAGCTAGCTTATGTAAATGTTTTATATGGTAAGCATTAATTTCTACGTTAGAAAATGTTTTTTTTTTTTTAATCATTTGCTACAACCTTTTTTTTGGGGGGGGNATTGATTAGAAAGCCGGAATTTTTTATCACAAATTCAATTGTAATGAAATTTGAAATTGCATTTGGTGAGAAACAGTGCATTGAAGATATCAGAAAATTATTGTGAATTTCTCAAAATTTAAATTCTAAAATCTGCATTATACCTCACAAGCTCAATTTTATTTAAAAACAATAATTAAAAATCTTAAAACTGCACTTGATAAAAATCGGTATATTTGAGTTATCAAACTTATGATAAGCATTCCTTAAACAAATTTGTCCTAGAATGTCAGATATTTGCCTTAGAATAAAATACCGCCCTAAAAACTGATAAAATAAAAAGCATAAAACTGTAACTGATACAACTGAAAAAAATGATATGAAATCAACACATGATTAAATTCCTTCACCTTAAGAAATTTAAAGTAATTTGTTTCTAAAAAAAAAGAAGAAAAGAAATGTTTAGTAATCTATTTGAAACATGTTAAATAGGCATATAAAATTTTAAAACTAAAAAGATAAAATTACTTTAATACATCAACAGGTTTTCCTTTTGCAGATTCCATTTTAAAGTTCTGAAGAAGTGTTCTAGCACAATCTTGAAATATACTCATCACCTGTTAAGTAAAAAGACATTAAAAACAGAAAAAATATGTTAAAGCTATCTACGTTGCATAGTACTTGCAAAAACGTCGTTTAATTACGCATTGAAAAGACCTGTGAGATACAATTACATATTTCTTTTTCTTTTTTCCGACTTTTTCAAAATATTTCATGAACAAATTTTATTAAAACTCAAATAAAATATTACTTTTTCAAGATCTTATTTAATAAAGCATTTTACATGACTATGAAAGCCTTTTTTTCAAGAACAATAACAAGGGAATTAAATAATTTTTATTATTTTGTGCTTGAAGAAGATGCTCCTTGCAACATCAAAATGAGCCTGTTTCTTTTATTAAGCATTTGTACGTCAAGACATTGTTATTCAATATATTATTTAAGATTTTAATTGAATTACAATCACCAACTATACTCTGTTTTTAATCATATCAGTTTCTAATTATCGCAGAATTTTTTAAATATGTCCTAAATAAAACGCTGTTACCGTGCACAAAAGTGTTTTACTAATCAGGATTTATCTATTTACTAATTATCTAATTTCATTTATTAATTAACTAATTACTATCTAAATTATTATTCGACCATGCAATGAATCAAATGTATTTCATGTTTTCTACTCAGTAAAAAAAAAATCCGGAATCAAATTACGGTACCATTTACTAGCACTCTAAGTATCGTAATATTTTACCGTAAAATTTGACGAAACATAAGAACTGATTTATTGTAGCATTTAAAGCAAAATTTACTGTAAAATTACTGAATTATTTATATATTACTGTAAAAACTACAGTTTAAAATTTTAAGGTAAAAATGGATTCTACGGTAAAAGGAATTTTTAAGGATTCTAAACTCTGGTTGCCAGTACCTTTCACCGTAAATCCGGATTTATTTTTTAGAGTTTACTCACTCTTTTGATTTTACCGGTCGAGAAAGTGGGTGATACAATGGTTCGAACTCTCTTCCAGTCTTCTCCAGTTAACACGGATAACATCTTGTCCAGAATTGGATCTCCTGAATCAAATACCTGAAAATTAAACATAAATTAATACTCATGTAAGTTGTGCGTAGAATTTTAAGTATCTCGAAATTTAAAAAAAGACTCAGGCAAAAATAAAGCCCATTTATTATAATTAAATCATATCGTGCTTAAGACTATTGATTTAAAACCATAGTTGTAAACAACCTTCTTTCCAAGTCAATCAAACAAAGGGTGGCCACTTCTGGTACAAAAATGAGTATTTGACAAAATTGAGTATTGCGATGAATTAATTCAAAATAAAAAAAAAGATTTTGCTCTGTCTACACATTCGAACATTTTACTTTTAAACTAACATTAAAAGTATACAGTTTAGTTAAACTTACGTTTAAACTGAACTGTACACTTGTTTAGACTTTTGCATAACATAAACTTTTATTTTAAGTATCTTAAGTCGACTGATGAAAGGAATTTTTCTAATTATAAATGTTTTCTTAAGTTTACATATACAGAAGTGGCTGAATCTCATTGTTTAGCATGTNATGGCATGTCTTCGGATCATCCTCCGAGATGTTTCCCAGACCGTCGCCGATAGCCCATTGTGCAGCTCTTGTGCGACGTAAATTAACAACAACAACAGCATAACATAAACTTTTATTTTAAGTATCTTAAGTCGACTGACGAAAGGAATTTTTCTAATTATAAATGTTTTCTTAAGTTTACATATACAGAAGTGGCTGAATCTCATTGTTTATCATGTGCGTGCCTAAACTTATAATTCGTAAAAGCGTTTTATCAAATAAGTAAATGTACTTTAGGTTGAAAATAAAAAATGGTTTAAGTATATATTTCTATCGTAAAATTGTTCTATTTTGAGTTTTTTAGTTAGTCCCTTTTTTTTCAATCAAAAAAAAAGGAAGAAAAAAAAAACAAATTTGCACTAGAGTTTCCATCGATGAACTTCGTTTAAGTATAGTGTATCAAATTTGAACTGCTAATGAACTTCTCATTTCTATTATACATTTTGTAACAATGCTGTCCTCATAATAATACTTTTGAAACAATTAAAATTTAGCTTTTTTAGTTCTATGTGAGCAATTAAAATAAGAGGAAAAGAAAAAAGCATAATGATCAGAAAATGTATGCAATATTGAGAAAAAATAAAAACGCCGCACTAGTCTGCAAAAATCATTAAAAACGTATTAATCAAAATATATTCCGAAATAATGAATTTTCGATATTGCATCTAAACTAAGCAAAATAGGAAAATGAAGAGAATTGATTAACCACTCCCTGAATATTTGAAAACTTAAGAGAGAAAAGTTATCTAAGATTAGTCCTAACACGCATGAAAACGTATTAACTGATCATTAAAAAGAGAAGATTATACTTACTCGTCGTGATGTGAAATACTGGAAATCTTTCACTAAAATGTCTCTCAAAAGTTCCGGTCTTGAAACCATAAGAACTGGCTTACTTGCCTCATAATAACTAAAAAAATCAAATGAAAGAAAAATTATACACTTATTTAAAAGACATATACAACAAACAGCCGCAAGAAAAATCTGTATTAAGTTGACGTTTGTTGTTTAGTGATTAGAAATAATAATGACGTTTTTAAGCTAAAAAATCTCTACTTAACTCTTGGAAATGTTCTTTACACCATAAAAAGATAGGTTTTTGACTGTTTGTCTCCATACACGTGCAGTGAGTCATATGTGTTAGTATTGTATTTCTATGAGGCCTGCATTATATTCCTTTTATTACATTATATTATAGTCTGACCTGCATTGTATTCCTAAGAAGAGAGTAGCCTGTGTGGTGGCCAGACTTGTAATGGATTAATTTTGTCAAAATGTTATTTTGCGAAATCTCGATATTCAAAAAAAAAAAGCTTTTTAGTTAATTATTTTTTTTCTTCTTTAAAACTGACCAGGCTTGTAATCGATTGATTTTATCAAAATGCTTATTTTGATAAACAAAGACAACTCGATATTCCAAAAAAAAAATTTTTTTTTTAGTCACTCCTTTTTTTTTCTTTAAAGCTACAAGGCTTATTGCAATAAAAATAAAAAAACGCATTAATATTTCAATCGTTTTGCGTATTTTTTAGACGAACGTAATATTTGTTTATTTACTTAGAGCGTGAAACTTTGCAATCAATATATAATAAAAATATAACAAATATTCTTATTTTTATCTGCTGAACCTTATCAAATTTGTATCATTCACCTATCAGTGTGTACAAATTTAACTCTTCTAAAATTATTTATCATTTAAAAAACACAGTGTTGCAAACTATCAATTCAAAACATAAATAAAATTCCAGCTATTTTAAAAATTCCAGTTGACATTTCCTTTTTTTTTTTGTTATTTCCTTAACCAGGATTAAAAAAAATGAATAAGCATATTAAAACAAACAGTTATTTTTTTGTGAAAAATGACACTGTTTGTATGAAAAGAAATTAAAAGTAATGCTTATGCTGTTATCTCTTGTAGTGAGTACTTACCGAAAATTTCAAAACATTTTTACACTCTCAAGGCAAATAATAAATAATCTAATCAAATTCTTTAAATATAAATAATAATGCAATTTTGAATATAATTTATCAGTTGTACCTCAAATATTTCCTTCAGTGATCTTTAATCCTGGTTTTTATTTACCTACTTCCTACTTGAAGTAAAAACTTATATTGTTTTGAAAGAATGCACTTTAACACCGCATCACAAAAAGTTTTCCAATTAACTTTGAATGCAATCCAATTAAAAACGTCAAACGCTGTATTAAAGTTTTGTTATTAACCATTGTTTTCAGTTTTTATTTTTTATTTTTTGCTTGTGGATTACTTATAACGTATTAGTTTTTAATTTTATAAAATCCAAAAATATATTAAAACCTAATCTAAATCTTTCTACAGTATATTCAATTGTTATTTTGCTTAAATTAATCGAAAAAGTACTTGAAGTTTTGGTTTCTTTAATTAAGAGAAACTGCAATGTAATTAAATTATTAGTTTTCGCCTTTTGACGATTATTAAAAACATTCTACAACGGATTAATTTCAACACGCACTAGAAAAAAATGGATGCTCAAATTTCACAAAACTTTCTTCCTTTTTGACGAAACCGTTTCCTGGTATATGCTCCGAGCAAAAATTTTGTCAAAACGTGAAATAACTGTCGTCACTTCTTCGAGGAAACGAATTTCGTCAAAATTAAAGAAATATTTTGTTCTTCTTCTTTTTCCAAAAAAAATCGTAGCTCCTGGTGCATCTAATTTTTTTAAAAGTTACTTTATTGTAGAAGCTAAATGAATGGCTCAAAGTTGCCCAAACAAGACAAGAAAGAACGATAGAATAGAAAGAAATACTTCTAGCGCGATAGGAACTCGGAGTCTTCCTGGTACGAAGTCAACTATCTTACAGACCGGGCAGCTTATTTGGTCTTTTTGTTTTCGATAGTGAACTCTTCATTCTAGTTTCGTCATTCTAGTTATAATCTCACGCGATACACTACGATGAAGTTCCGAGTTGAGGAAACATTTTCGTCATATATTTGAGAGTTCGCGCTTTTTTCCAAACTACGTGATTTCGTTACGACATGATTCTCAAAATGAACGAAACATTGCTAAATCGTCAAAAGTGAGAGATCTATTTTTAAGAGTGCTCCTTTTTTTCCATCAAAAGTATGTAAAATATTACTTCAATGCAATATTCACGTGACTGCTATTCATTTCTATGTCAAAAACTGGTCTTAAAACAGGTTAAAAATATCTTTCCAGTACGTTGAACACTGGATCATATAAAGCAAAATATCCGTGAAGATTGTTAATTCATTTAGACAAGTGCATTGGGGAATAAATATTACAAACTTAATTATCTAGAGGAAGTAATTCAATACAATTTGAATTATACATTAGATCTACTATTTTGGCTAAATGAATGTACAATGAATGAAGTATTATGTAATGAAGAACGTCTTTTTGCTTTAATTAAAGATTATGTATTCGCGCAAGCATTATGAGTTCTTCGGAAACTAAAGAAACAGTAGGTTATTGAAACTTATGAGAGTAGTGCAGTTATAAAATATTTTATTTCTTACCCATATAAATCACCATATTTTTGATACCGCTCCAATTCTACGTCTTCCAAATTCTATAAATATAAAAGAATATTTTGCTATCTTTATTAAATAAACATTTAAATGCTTGAATTTCAGAAAAATTAATATTTTTCTAATTTGATAGTAATGACTATTTTAGATAATAACTATTAAATCGAAATATTGCTAATCATAAAACGTTACAATAATCTAGCTGTCATATTTTAAAATTCGCCTTTATTCTGAATGCAAATTTATCCTGAACTATTTTCAGTCTAATGATTGGTTTTTCTTATACAATGCGCAATCATTGTGGTTTGAAGAAAACGATCTTCCGCAACACTCAAATGCCATTAATTAAGTTACGAAATATGACATCAAGTATAGTACATACTTTCACTGAACAAAGGGAGTTTTTATAAATAATTCGTATTAATAGTGTTATAAGTTATATTTTTATAGCGAATTCGTATAAGTTTTCAATTTATACTATATTTTAACTCAATACTTCCCAATATAACTAGAAAAGCGGTCGAAAGTTTGATGCGAATGTTGTTTGGCTCTGATCACTGTTTACTAAAACTTCTTCCTCAAAATTTAAAAACTCATTTTTACTATGGTATTTTCATTAAAAAGAGACATTTACAATAAGATTTTTTTAACAATTTATCAATATTTTTAAAAAAAACTTTATACTATGAGGAATGCAAATTTTTACATCGTGTTAAATTATATAATTTTTTTGCAACCAAATCTAAATATTTTAAATACCTTGGTTGACATATATTGACATAAGTACTTTTTAAAATATATAATTGCTTGAATGTTAAAATTAACATGATTCTGATACGAATGTTGCTCAACTCACCTTTTTCCTCACTAATGCGGGATGAGATCCAAGTAATGGATAAGGTTTAACATAGGGGATTCCCCTTTTCTTCCAATAATCATGGTTCCTAGTGGAGTACCTAAGGAGTAATCAAACATGCTTTATTTGTATCAAACATGAAGCACAAAGTCCCAAAATAATATGTTGAACCTCATTTGTTGAAATATTGTGTTTGATAAACTACCAAATATCCTGATAAGGTAGGATTCGGTATTTTTTAGTCGCACATTGAAGAAAACTTAATTCACATTTTATAACGATGTGAACATAAAATGATAATTTCACAAGTTTAAATGAACATTTAATAAGACTTCTCATGAATTTACGAAATTTTTAAAATGACTGATAGAAGATATTAAAAAATTATAAATAAGTTTAATATTCCTGTAAATAAAATATTTTTCCTGCTTAATTTCTATAGCACTAAAATATTATTCTCTAGATAACGGTAATGGATTCATTTGAAAAACTAATTGCGTGGTATTTATAAAAACATACCGCACAGCTCGGGGGACTTATTTCAGAATTTTTTAGACGTCTCTTAAATTACAACGCATTGTTCTAAACATTTTACAGAATATATCTGCACAGCTCTATTTTAATAAGGTATCTCAAACTTCATTTTAAATAGTAAAGGAATTTGTTTTCTGTCCCACAAAGTCACCACTTTGGGTAAAGAGACTTTGCCACCTAATTTGTTTCCTTAAAGTGGTCTAAAACATAATTCTAGCAAAATTCTTCCCTCCTTAGCCTTATAATTTTGAAATCAATTCAGAAGACAAATGAGCTCCTGGATCAAATATTGGGAGAAATCTGACTTCGTGCAGGACTTTTTGATGGAACTAACCGGCGTATGGCGTTAAATGGAAAGGAAAACCTTCCACGGTCAGCCTGATGACAAAGGGACTCTAACCCATGATCCGTCAACCACTGAGGATATTGGATAGTTTATACGTCTCTACTGTGGTCGGAACGAGCCAGTTGCGGAATCTGTATCAACCAGCCATCGCTGGGATTCGAACCCGGATCATTTCATTGGAAGGCGAACGCTCTATACTCTGAGTCACGACGACTCTTTTGTCTTAATAGAAACTGGTGTTTCCTTGCTCTCATCAACATCTGCCAGCATCTTCTTCTGTTAAGGTTTACTAAAATACTGAACAAGAACATAGCGCACAATATTAGTCTTTTGCGTTCCATATTGACGCAGGCTGTTTCATTTATCTTAATCTCTATTGCTGTTCTTGTACCGTTAGAGTGAATTCTATCATAATCATGATTAGTCATGATCATAGTCATGATCACATCAGTCATGGAACAAATAATGTTCCAAATTTAGATTCCTTATATCGAATCCTCATATCCTTCAGATTCCTTATATATGTTACCGGCAAAGTATGAAACGCCGACATTGTATGGAATGACTAGGCATTGTATAGAATGCCAAATGCTATTTAGGCAAAGTATGAAATAAATGCCCTGATGAGGTTTTTATGTAAATGATGTGCATGTTACTATTATTGACCGAAATCGGTGGTTGTTGACTTTCACCGGTGAATGTTGACAATCACATAGTCGCTTTAGTGAATGTCCGAAATATCTATTACATCCGATTTGATATTAATTTATTCGTGAATATAATTACATTTATTCGATATTTTAATGCTTACTGACGATAGATTCGAAGAAACATCAGTGCTTGAAGTATCGGGAAAATGTATACCGGGCAATGGCGCTTGACCTAAAAAAAACATCAGTGTAGGGTATACCGGGCAAATGTATACCAGGCAGTGGCACTGAACCTAAAAAGAAACATCAGTGTAGGGTATACCGGGTAAATGTTTACCGTTCAGGGGCACCTAACTTTGGTTAATGTCCGAAATATATACTATGTCTAGTTAAGTGCCATTGCCCGGCATACCCTACACTGATGTTTTCTTAATGTCAAGTGCCATTGCCCGGTATACATTTGCCCAATACTCCAAACACTGATGTTTCTTCGAATCTATCGTCAGTAAGTATTAAAATATCGAATAAATGTAATTATATCTACGAGTAAATCAATATCAAATCGGATGTAATAAATATTTCGGACATTCACCAGAGCGACTATGTGATTATCAACATTCACCGGTAAAAGTCAACAACCACCGATTTCGTTCTCGAGTCTTAGTTCCTACTTTATTTTTGAGCTCTCAAGTTTTCTTATGCTATTCCTGCCATTGTTGATTATAGTCATCTTTAGAGGTCCTACTTAAATTAATGTTCAAATTAATGAAAAAGATTACATAGTAAGTTACTTTTTTTGTTTTTGAATGTTAGTAAAATATATCATCAAAATTTAATACTCCACACTTAATTATTTTTCATCCTCTTTAACTGAACAATATTAGTGATAAAAGGACCCTACAGGTAAGGTGTGAAACCCATATAAAATACCTTACCCTGAATGAAAATCTGAATATTTGAGTTTAATTTTATTGAATGGAATTAAAAGTTTTAATTGACATCCATTTTTATAACTACTTCAAAATAATAATTTCTATTTAAAAAAAAAAATTTCTTCATTTGAATGTTTTTTTTAATAATAATAAAAATTTTGTATAAAATAAAAGTTAAAGGAAATCACACATTATTTTCTAACCATAATATCTATTTGTTTATTTAATTTCAACTGATAAAGGGTGATAAAAATAATTTCGTCCTTGATTCTGACTCGAACCTGTCTTATTTTGCTGTGCATTATACACCAAGTAACATAACTTTATAAATAAATTAAACTATTATAAGCTGTCAAAACAATAAGCCTTACCAATACAGCAAAATCGATACCAATACTGCAACAATTGCACTTGCAATTCGGATATCATATAATGCGTCCATATAAGCATCCATATTCTACTTTGGTTCTTTCAATATCACCCTGTTTGTCTTCTCAGACCTTCTTTAATGACACACTAAATAAAAGTTTTATTAAGTTAATGGATTTGTTTCAATAAACCTTGAAACGTAAACAGACTATTGCATGACAGTTTAGAAAGGCATATCTGATATGTGAATTGATAACAAAATTTGATATGGCTGTTGAAACAAAAGGTGAAAAAAAATAAGAATATTCATAAATAGAAATATTAGTGAATGTTTTTTTTCTTTTTGACAGATAACGTTTCCGGATAAAAATTTTGCGTTATTAAAGTTTGAAATTTAGATAAAAGTTAAATGAAGAAATAATCAAGATGGATTTTTGGATAAACAATTTTAAAGATATCAATCTTGATATGTTTAAAAAACAATTGCATCTTAAATAATGTTCAAACGCACTGTGTAGGGGGTCAGGGAACTGGTCTGGCATCAGAAAGGTTCTGGGTTCAAATCCCTGGCAAGGAATGGATGTTCTTTCATTCTCTGTACAATCTGTGCTTACTGTGGGAGCAACGTTGGCCAACCTAATAGGGAGCCCCTGAAAGAGTGGACAACAAATCTGCCCTGTAAAATGTCTGAATTAAAGAAATGTTAACACAGGTGGGCATTGGAAATAAGATGAAAATGCCAAGAAATAAAAAATATTTAAATTTATTTAATTTTTTTTAATGAAAATAGGAAATCATATCATTCATTCGAAGACATATACTGTTCATTTCGAAACAATATTCATGTCAAATTTGACACAATAATAAAATAAAATAGTTTAAGACACTCGAAAATCCAAATCCCTGGTAAATACTGAATATTTTTTTAATATTATGTTTCGCTAATAAATCAATAACTGAAGAATTAAGAAAATAATCTTCAATTTAATTCCTTAGCGTCGAGGAATGTTCTTGTCCCCGTATTTTATTCTATCCTTCTGTGTTTCGACTCTGAAGAAAGTTCAAATTTTTAAAACCAAATCTATACACTGTAAAAAGTTCCGTATCAAATTCCAGTAAAAAATATTGACATTCAAGATGGTACTGTAACTGTAAAATCCACTTTTATAGGAACATATTATGAAACAAAAAAAATTGTACAGTAATATTTATCGTAAAATCACTGAATCATTTTAATTAAAGATAAATAACTGTAAAAATTACGGTATAATATTTTACGATAAAAATGGATTTTACAGAGATAATGCACTAAAAGGGATAAGGCACTAAAAGTACCGGTACTTTATGCCGCATTTTGGTCCGGAAATCTTTATAGTGTAGTAGGTATTTCCGTTTTTGTGTCATTACTTATGCTTAATACGCGTTGTTCTTTATTATTGATACGTAACGTGAAGTACATCTTATCTTCTTTTGGATACATATTTTTGTTTCATAACCGTCGTTGAACAACAGACCCAATTTTGGATTTACGACTACTAATGTTCAACTTCCNCTGTCAAAACAATAAGCCTTACCAATACAGCAAAATCGATACCAATACTGCAACAATTGCACTTGCAATTCGGATATCATATAATGCGTCCATATAAGCATCCATATTCTACTTTGTATGGTTCTTTCAATATCACCCTGTTTGTCTTCTCAGACCTTCTTTAATGGCACACTAAACAGAAGTGGTATTAAATTAATGGATATGTTTCAATAAACCTTGAAACGTAAACAGACTATTGCATGACAGTTTAGAAAGGCATATCTGATATGTGAATTGATAACAAAATTTGATATCGTAGTTGAAACAAAAGGTGAAAAAAATAAGAATATTCATAAATAGAAATATTAGTGAATGTTTTTCTTTTTCATTTTGACAGATAACGCTTTCGGATAAAAAATTTGTGTTATTAAAGCTTGAAATTTAGATAAAAGTTAAATGAAGAAATGATCAAGATAGATTTTTGGATAAGCAATTTTAAAGATATCAATCTAGATGTATTTAAAAAAACAATTGCATCTTAAATAATGTTCGATCGCTCTGTGGTCACACGAGGTCAGGGAACTGGCCTGGCATCGGAAAGATTCTGGGTTCTGAATCACTGAATCACTTTAATTAAAGATATATAACTGTAAACATTACCGTATAATATTTTACGATGAAAATGGATTTTACACAGATAATGCACTAAAAGTACCGGTACTTTATGCCGTCCGGAAATCTTTATAGCGTAGTAGGTATTTCCGTTTTTGTGTCATTACTTATGCTTAATACGCGTTGTTCTTTATTATTGATACGTAACGTGAAGTACATCTTATCTTCTTTTGGATACATATTTTTGTTTTAGAACCGTCATTGAACAACAGACCCAATTTTGGATTTACGACTACTAATGTTCAACTTCCGTAGCCTTGTAATTTTGAACCAATCCAGAAAACAATGAAACGCCTGGATCAATACCCCCAGAGGTATGATTTGTTATGGGAAGATGGAGGACTTTGTGACTCGAGAGATTTAACGTGCATCAGGCACCATTTACTACACTGGAAGTCTTCTGTCGACGAGGATCGAACCCGCTTGATAACTCTAAGTGCATTCACAACTCAATAACTAATATTTCTAGCTAATATAAGAAACATTAATATTTTGATTACTTAAATACTCGAGTCTACAGAAGAAGAAGAAAACAGTAAATAAATAAATAAAAAAAATTTGAAAAGTTAAATTAATCTTTTCATTTCAACTGAAATCCTAAATATAAATTGGATAAGTTGAATAAACGAAATCTTTTTTCTAAAGATTTATCTTATTCTTTTTTTATTATTCTTAATCTTTATTATTGATTATTTTGATTATTTCTTAATCTTTTTTCTTTAGATTACTCTAATCAAATCTATTGCATTATATTATATTAAACTTAAATGATTAAAAAATATCATTTAGTTTAGTTTTTTTAAAACTCTTAGACCAAAATCAGTGTTTTAATATTCATCGACGAATTAATAATATTTACCGACACATGTTTAGTATATAATTAAATAGAAAAATCACTTTTATTTTAACGATTAACACAACAAGTAATCGATTTTTACCTTTCTTTAGGTTTACTTATCTTGCTTGTACAAGCGAGCAAGCCTTTTTTTTTAGATAGATAACTATATTTAGTAGCCACATTAAAATAATATATGATTTTAGATGCAACAATAATGGCATAAATTCTACTTTGCACTTACTAAATATGAATGGAACAATCGAAATCGTAAAGAATTCACAAATTAATATTTTAAAAGTAGCAAAGTTTTCAAAAAAGTTTACCTGGAAAAAATATATTCTACTTGCGACAAGATTACATAACAGATTACCAGCAAATAGCTGGTAATGTGCGTTCACTATTTCCTTGTTAATATAGTAACGTGACATTGAGAGCGAATCAGTCATTCTCTTAGTTTGTTTGAACGCCACTTACATTTAAATGCAATTTTATTGTTTAGCCCATGACTTTCAAGGATGAAATAATTCAAAGCATTTTGACTGAATGAAGTATTTCGTTACGCATTTGAAGCATAGAGAAACGTTTTTGTTTGGCGAGCAAACAAAGTTTCATTTTTTCGTTTTTTTTTCAAAATTATTTTTAGAAAAAACTTACAGTATGATAACCAATTACAGTAGTTTAAAATTGCATCGTCCTTTAAATAGCAGTACTCTTCGACTAAGTAAAATACGAAAATATTATTAGACTTTTCGCTTAAAAAAGTAAACATTGATCTTTGAAAATAGAGAAGAAAGGAAATAAATTTACAAGGTGCGTAGCCAAAATATTCAGCAAAAAATAAGCACTTTTCAAGCACTCAAAAAATATTTTTAAGCACTTTAAAAAATATAATAACTAGGCACAGTTAGAAAGTTTTTGACAATCGACGGTTTTATCTTGTTTTAACCGTCATGTCCAAAAAAAACAAACCTTTTGGCATTGTTTTTGACAATTGTCAAAAATCATGAAATTTTGAATCATGTAAAACGAATGGCGTTTTCATACGCTACAAACTGACTATAGGCCGAAATAGATTAGGGTTGAATTAATTATGAAAACGCTGAACTGAATGAAATGTGAACTGCGTCTTTTTGCATAATTTGAAGCGAAAATCAACATAGTAAAGGACAAATCTCATTTTGAAAAATGGAAAATTAAGCACTTTTTAAAAGCACCCAATGAAAAAAGCACCTTTAAGGGTTTTTTAAAAATTAAAATTGAAAATAAGCACCTTTAAGCACTTTTTAAAAACGCTACGCACCCTGGTTTAAAGAAAACTACTTTAGGGAACAAGAAGTAAGCTTTGACAAGTGCGCTGTGAGCACTTTCAATTTAAATGATGTCTGTACATGCATTTCGCAATTAATTGCAATTAAATTTGTAAAAAAAAACTGACTGGATACAACAATAAATAACGAATCCTGGTACTTCTGCGTGTTCCCGAGTAACAATTTTACCTTGGCTCCAATTGGGCTCAATAGGGGTCCTATGAACATCCACCGAGGGGCCAATATTAGGATGCCTATATTTTTTAATATTAATCTTATATAGGGCAAATATCGGGCTATATACGGCCAATATAAAACCATATTAGCTGAATAATGAATAGAAAATATCGGATGAATCTAACAACTTTATATACAGGACTGATATTGGTCGTAAAATGGGTATACAATATCGGTTGAATCAGACAATTCCACATAGGGCCAATATCAGAAAATAAAGGCCCTTTGAACCTTCATTGAGCCAGAATTCGTGAATATTGGTCCAATGCGAGCCCAAGTTGTTTTGCTGCTAGGGTTATTTTACAAGATGTCTAAAATGTAAAGAAATCGACAATTACCTCGTAAAATACGCAACTGGTAAAAAAATCTAAATAAAAAGGCTTAAAAAATTTTCTACAGAGGCATTCAATGCCATCAAACTCGACCCCCACTTTGAGAATCTCCTCTACTTCTTAGGGAGAAGGGGTTAAAATTGATAAAATTATACTTTTTTTTAAATATTTAACACGCTTATTTTTTTCCTTACCTGAGGTCTCCATGTTAAAACATTTTGTACGCTATT